GTGGCTCTCTTCAACACCTTGTCCCTGTCACTAGGTGTCAGACCTATGCCGGAGTTCTGGCAAAGGGTGTAATCTTTTTTTTTCTTTCATTTTTTTAGATTAAACCAATTTTTCTTTTTCTCTTAATATCGGTCTTTATATTGTAAACTCTGAATACAGTTCATAAAATTTTCAGGCTATTATATCATTTCTAATGTATATTATTTGAAGGACTTAAAACACTGTTTAAAGCAGATTTTTTTTTTTTTTTTGACATTTTAGGATTTTTGCAAAGGGATGACTACTTAAATTTGTTTCCATAGAGAAAATGTACGATATCTGAAACAAAAATAGTAGTCCTTTCAAAAAAAATTAATTAATCTCTAGTTATTTTTCCCATATGCAAAAATAATATAAAATTGTCTCCTCTAAGTTCCTTCCCTAAGAACAGGTCATATTGACCACTAATTTTACTTCTTTGATATGAATCAAAACCTGATGAATAAAATTGGCAAGATCATGGTTCTTATTTGATTACCTGTAGTCATGATGGTCATCATCATCCATTTCGACATCTTTGTTCAGAACTTTATATAAGAAAACGAGCTTTGCTGCTTTTTCTGCACCTAACTTATTTTTAGTCTTTCAATGAACAAGTCCAAATCTAGAAAATATTCTCTCCACACTTGCACGATGCACTAGTAGTCAGAAAATCCATCATTAGAAACTTTTCCCGTCACTGATTCCCACCAAGAGTTAGGAATTAGAATATTCAACACTGATTCTTTGAATAACTATGACTTCTGGAAAAGTGCAATAGGGAGATGAATAAGAAAATCATCATCAACTAATTACATTGCTGTTTCTTCTTCCTCATTAGGCAAAGTTGATCAAAAGAACAGCGGATCAAGCAGGTTTGCAAGAAGTGTGCATTTTCAATAGTTTTTCCACTGTGTTTATTTGTCAGAAGGCAAATATTTCAGTAGTTCTTGTATTCTTCCAGATTTCCTTACTGCTTCTGATATTTGTCTGATCTGAAACTTGTTAGTGATTTTTGTACTGGTTTCAGCTAAAAGCAGATCTTATGTATTGGATTTTAAGTTCATATCTAGTACTTTTGACTCAGTTTATGGAGTGTGTGGAGTGTTAATCAAAAAGGACCAGCTCTGTGAGTATATTTCTTAGCAATTGAATTCCAGCGGGTTTCACATGGTACTATGATTTTCTTTCCTCCTTGTAACTTGTCTTTTGCTGCAGAATGAGTGTTTATCACATTGTTTAGCAATATGCAAATGTGGCTCTTTTACAAAGGTAGATCAAGTCTTGAACGAACAAGTTTGCTAGATGAGCAGTGCAACCATATGCTATATAATTCCAGTATATTTATCTTTTTCCTCTTCATGAGCACTGGCGGGTTATTATCTTATTTAGATTCAAGTAAACCAGAATTTCTATATATATGATTGATAGATATAATTGATATAATGTGTGTGTGAGCTTTAAAAGCACAATCAAACATTTTTATCCAGAATATATTTCATTGCAACTAAAAATATTCAAACCAAAACAAAAAAAAATACCTTTTTACTTTTTTTTTACTTTTTTTTTTTTTTTTTTTACAACCTGCCCAGCCAGACAACTTGATAAAGAGAGACAGAGGGTGAAATCCTGTCTAATACCAGAAAATGAAGCAACTGCCACTTTACAGGAGAAAGAAATGAAGAAAGAGAAATCAAGAAAGCAGGTAGAGAAACAGAGAGGAAACAAAGTTAAAGACTCTAGTCATGTAAAGAAATCCACAAAAAATTCTGAATCATCTGATGAAGATGATGTCCAGCCTCCTAACCAGACACTCATCAGAATCCGAGGAAGTGGATATGGACAATGAACAAGGAGACCAGCGGCATGAGATCTTAGCAGAGAAACAGCCGGAAAAAGAATATTTTGTTTTAGTAGAGCTTTTACTAGAAGATAGCCGAAGGGTGTAAGTGTTCACTAGGTAGCCAAGGTTTTAGATGTCTACGAATAGTCAAAATTTCTTACCTTAGACGTAGTATGAAGTCAACTACGAAAGTAGGACATGTTCGTATTCCCATCAATTGTAGAATGAGGGATAAATGGCAGCAAAGTCAGTGTTGTTCTACAACCCTGTGATCACATTCCCTCTCTTTCTGAATTTAATATTTGTTCCTTTCATTGTTTTGGGGCACATAATGAGGCTGCTTGTGACTTGAAGTGTGTTGTTTAAAGCTACAATACATTCATTTAGCTTTAAATTTACTATTGATTGCCAGTAGCAGTTTATTAACTTTATGGGCAAAGAAATTGGCCTTTTTGGATTTGTTTGCAAAAGAGAGAGAGTGAGAGTGAGAGAGTGAAAGAGTGAAAGAGTGAAAGAGTGAAGAGTGAAAGAGTGAGAGTGAAAGAGTGAAAGAGTGAAAGAAGAGTGAAAGAGTGAAAGAGTGAAAGAGTGAGAGCGAGAGTGAGAGTGAGAGTGAGAGAGAGAGTGAGAGTGAGAGTGAGAGAGAGAGAGAGAGAGAGAGGGGGAGAGAGGGGGAGAGAAAGAAAAGGAGAAAGAAAAGAGAAAGAGAAAGAAGAGAAAGAGAAGAGAAAGAGAAAGAGACCAAAAATAATTCATTTGAATGGCTAGAATAATATATTTCTATTATATGGCGTTATTGACACGAGTGTTTTTATGTCCATCTAATGGTGCCATACTGACCATGGCCAATGCAAAATGTACCCCTTTAATCTTTTTTAATCTTTCAATAAAAAAAAAAACAATTTTGTAGCACATCTGTGGCATACTGTGGGCAAATACCACTAGATTCTTGCATGTAAATTAGTTTTAATTCCGACTACCTTATAATTTTTATTATTATTTTTCCACTAGTAGTACTATATGTAGCCCCTCTACCCTACTAGTACCTACTACATAACTACGTACCTGAGGTGTCATCGATGTGACTTATAGAGCCAACTAAGTGTAAACACAATTAATAAATCATACTCGTCAAGTCCCCAGAAGCAGGAGGTTAAGGCACTGTACTGAAATCTTGTCTTTTTTCTTTGTATAAGACAAGAAATAAAGTATCTTGTGTGAATAATTTCAGAACTTCAAAATTGTTAATGAAAAAGTTTTGTATTTTCATATTTATTACTACACTTATACAACCAAAATACATCAGTTATTTTCACTCTACAACAAATTTGCACGCACACAAAATTCATTCACATCTATTATTTTCTAAGTCTATCCAATTTTGACTTACCACCAAAAATTAATAATCAATGCTGGATCAGTAATAGCAACACAAAATAAAAATTTACATTATATAGCATTCTTCAAAGTAAAATGCCATACTGTTGGAATTTTTAAAGTTTCTGTACCATAACTGATAAATCTTATGCATATGGATGCTCTGTTTAAATTATATTTTTATAACATATGACCAATAAACACAACTGCGTATTGCAGGATGATTACCTACAATATTGCTTTCCAACCCCCTTATATTCATTTACTTTTGCTACATTGTTTTTTTTTCTTTTTTCTTTTTAAAAATAAACTGATGATGATTGCCTCAAAAATAATGCAATTTCACTTTTGCTTTTTTCTCTTTCTCTCCCAAAAAATAAAGGAGTAGTGATTTTTTTTTTAAGTATTTGAAAACAAATTCAAGAGAAAATAAATCCAATTACAAAACATAAACAAACTCTCAGTTGAATACCATAACAAGTAATCAGGCATCTGGGAGGTAAAAAAAAACAAAAAAAAACTATGCAGACAATTTAGTTTGTTTTGTTTCTTAATAAGAAGCAGGAAAATATGTCTGCCAAAAAAAAGAAAGAAAAGAAAAAAATCTTCTGATTATCTACATGGTTTCAAAAACTGAATATATCTGTACTTTCTTAAATGTATTTCTGAATCACTGAAATATAAAGCAATGTTTCCTGTGGATGTGTTAAGCATAAGGGATTCCTGGTATGCTATAACCAGGAAAGCTGCAAGAGAATTTCTTCTCTTAACCATGGTAATGCTTGACCTCCTGTGTATCTCCTTGTGTTGGACTCAGTGGCTCTGCCGAGCAGAAGCCACAGCCCATTCAGCTACAAGTTTCCGAACCCATTCCTCAAGAACGGGATCTTGATCGGCTGTGGTGCCGAGAACGGGATCTTGATCGGGACCTGTGCCGATATCTTCCTGATCCCCGATGTGCTCTGGAATAACAAACTTGATATCATTTTTCATAATTCACAGAAACAAATACAAAGTGACATTTGCAACACCCCTTATCATTTGTGTGTGTATGTGTGTGTGTGTGTGTGTGTGTGTGTGTGTGTGTGTGTGTGTGTGTGTGTGTGTGTGTGTGTGTGTGTGTGTGTGTGTGTGTGTGTGTGTGTTGTTTTTTGCTTGCCTGAGTGCGTGTTAGTTGTAAGAGTTACTATGAGTAACTGAGTGAGAGTATAGGTGAGAGGGTGCATGTGTGTGAATGTAAGTGAGAGTGAGAGTGAGAGTGAGAGTGAGAGTGAGAGTGAGAGTGAGAGTGAGAGTGAGAGTGAGAATATGACTATGACTATGAATGTGAATGAGCAGGTAGGCATTGGTGTGGTGGTGGATGTGTAGATGTGTAAGTATAAGTGTAAGTGTAGTTGTGTAAGTATAAGTGTAGTTGTGTAAGTATAAGTGCAGGTGTGTGTGTGTGAGTATAAGTGTAAGTGAAGCATAAGTGTAAGTGATGTATAAGTGTGTCAGTGTAATTGTGTGTGAGTCTGAGCAAGAGCGAGAGTGAAAGTGCGTGAGAATGAGAGTGAAGGTAACAGTGACCGAGTGTACGTGTAAGTGTACAAGTATGGGTGTGACTGTGTTTGAACTTATAAAGTAAATTCCAGCTGCATGAGAACACTGTCTGGCAAGTTCATAGGAAAAAGCAGTAATGACCCTACACATGGACTGATAACTGATTTACAGTTACCAAGTTTCTAACTGTTAACTGCTGTAAATCCAAGGCTTTACTGGC